GCCACGATTTCATCACGATTTCTATACAATATCTTGACAGTTATCTTTTTAATTATTAGGCTTTAGATTCCATTTTTAATTAAAAATTCTAATAAAAAATGACATTCACACTTATTGATGTCAATAAAAGTTGGATTATTTTTTATATACATTTTTTTTTATCAAAGAAACATTAACTTCTTTTAAAAGACACCTTCAATTCTGCTAATGATTATTATTATTACTTGAAGTGAAGATAAAATGACTCATAACTCATTCTTGTATTTCCATGTTCTTTCTTTGTTAACAAAAGCTTAAACTTGTTCCTTTTCAAAAAAAAAGGAACTAATGGACATATTTGCTAATACTTATGCTAATTGATCTGTTATTAGATGCTGTCAGTTGTGATGATTTTGATTGAGGTTTCTGTTTATTTCTGGAATATTTTATTTGCGTGTGTATAAAATCTCTTGAGAACTAACACACCGATATTAAAAACCAAAAGGCTTTATCTAAGAACTTAGTTTATATTTTATATCTTAATGACAATTGAACTAGTAATTAAAACAACAAATTTTAATAAATCAAGTTTAATGTAAACATAACCTCATTATACACACCATGGTAGAAGAATACAGGTAGATGCATCAACGCTTTGAACATTGATATGTCAAATTTTTTAATATGTTTCTTCAAAAATAAATAGGTTTGTATATGTTTTCTCATGGTAAAATCAAGGAGGTAAAGCCATGCAATCATATGTTTACAATGTTTTCAAAAATTATAAATTTGACATCTCATTGTCAAAATTTGTATTTATAAATCCATTGTACATACACAAATCAGAGATGGGGACCTGTTTTTATGTAGTGAAATGTGACAAGGTAAATTACAGAAAATTCAGAGATGGAAATGCTTATTTGAAATGACTTTACTTTCTTAATTTTACCATGTGTTTTCTTATGCGACACAAATCGAAGGTTGGAATGATATACAGTTTTCAACAACTTTTACAAATTTAAATATTTTTTTATTTAAAAATTTCAATTCGAAAATTTGTTTGACAGTTCATTGTCCCAGCAGCTGTGTTAGTGCGACTAACGGTATTCTATCATGATACACACTTGCGTTGAAAGAGACATGTTAATATAAAAACAACAATTACAGAAACAAATGACAAATAAAAGTTTGAAAAAGTTTGAGTTTTGAAATGTGGTTTCAAAATTCTACTCCAAAACCTTTTTCAATTAATTGCATATTGCCTTAGCAGTTTAAATCAGTTAACATTGGTAGCTATGTTGCTGTGATGTCGTAACAACAGATGCATTTTCACAGGGTTGCCATATTTTGACTCTGTCTTGCCCTATCTTTACACTGCTATGTCTTTGAAGAAAGGAGTTTAAGGTTGACTTAGTTCGAGTTTGTGCCTTACACTCCTTTGTTTTTTTTTCGAAGAAGCCAGCCCATGACTTAAGCCAGTCAAAATAGCGTTTTATGTATTTTCACCTTAAGTTTTCAGCAGTAATGTTCATTACTTTGTTTTGTTTCTTCGAGTGTATTTTTGTTACCCAAGGTTCAAGTTACCTACAAAACCCTAGCAACTTTTGTTGTTTGTTTTTTTGTTTTATGATTTCTTTTGTCCTCATCACGATTATTACAGGTCTCCTGTTGTCGTTTTACAACACGATTTATTATATAACACACATGGAGAGTGAGTATTGATTCGAAGTTTAAAGATGGCCTGCGGTGTGAAGTCATGATGCTAACTAATCATACATTATCAGCTGACTATGTATGAATGTATGTATGTATGTTTGTATGTACTTTGAGGTCACATTGTATACATTTGACATCGATGAAAGAAAAAAAAGTTAAAAGGCCAAAACAAAAGTGATCATCATTAAATATAAAACTAGCCATTGGCTCGGGCAGAAATATCATTAAAATGGCCTGGGACACATTAATATGGGTAAATGATTGTGCGGGTATATACTATAAATAAATAACTGCGGAGGATGTTAAAGATTTAAATCACCTCTCTTTGTTTGCTATTAATAACAATAAACATTTATGCTGTTGCCATCATTGTTAGAGTGCGAAAACACAAAAGGCGTTGTTGGTGTGGCCAACAAATGCATGCATTAATATTTTTTATTTCAAATGGCCAACCATTAAAAATCAAGGGAAGTTGTGATGAGGAGTGACTATAGGAGATGCAATTGATAAGAGGCCAATACTTGAGTGTGGATAAATAAACCTTTAATTGAGGTTTTGTTTTCTTGTAGTCAAGTGTTTTCTTTTGGTTAGCAAATGTTTGTGTTAGTAGTAGCATTTGGGGTCAGGAAGAAATAATAATATAAATAAAAAAACATTAAAAATAGGTTGTTGTTGTTATTGTTACTAGTCAAAGTTTGTTAATTAATGTTATTTTTAACTACCGTGTGCCACCTTCGCATACCAACTTAAATAGCAAAAGAAACAAGTACAATAAAAAGAGGCAAAAGGCACTTACATGCTACACTGCGAAACAAATGAATAAAGCCACATATTTTATGCTAGATGCTACCTTATATAAAATACAATTTTCGAAGAGCATTTTTGGGATACTATTTGCAAATATTATACCCTAATTGTTAGTTCTTGTGTATTTTTTTTTTTTTTTTTTGCATCAAACATAGAATTGACCATTGAATGTGTCTGTCTAAACATAGCTATATTTAATATGCCGAAAACGCAATTATTGAAATTTTCTTCGAGAAAAGTGGTGAGTGAAAACATAGCATAGCATTGGGACATAAATGGACAAATTTGAAAAATGTAAAGACTTCAATTAAAAGTTAATCTAATTATCTACCTGAAGTCTATTTTAAGCTTGAACATGGTAGAAGGAGCATGGACACAGCTGTTGTGACATTGAACCAATTTTAAAATTGAAAATTTTAAATTAAGAATTATTAAAATTTGTAAAAATTGTTGGTGTCGTGTAAGACAACGAATAAAAATCTACTTCAAAAATTTTCTAAATTTTTTGACATATCAATGTTTCCAAGCGTTGATGCATCTACCTGTATTCTTCTACCATGAGCTTGAACAAATGTAAAAACATGTTCACACATTTGTGAAATCCTGAAATACACCCAATGTAGTATTAAGGCTCTATCAGACGGAACGTTTTTTTTATATATGTGCTGTCAATTTTATTATTGATGTGTATTTCCGTGTGTATGTCAAAATTGCCGTTTTCACACGGTTTTTATTTCCTTTAACTACATTGATATTAGATTTCATAACAAATTGTTATATTTTATGAAAGAATTTTTACTTCAAATTTAATTTTAAATATTTTCACATACAAATTTAAAAATTCTATGAATAAATATTTTTCGATGAAAATAGGGCAGAACTGAAATGGTGCCCATGTATCACACGATAAGTCTAACTTCTACACTTGGAAAATATGACATTACGCAACATTGCGTCTTATAGAGCCTTTAGTACTAGTAATTTATTGAGTCTTCTTCTTTTCGATTACATATGGATGTGCCTAGGAATGATAACACAAAGTATTCTTAGGTTAAGATCAAATATATATAGATTAAATACACTCTAGTTGTTTACATATATGTCAGTCTGATCATAAGGCAATTATAACAATCAAGGACTTGATTGTAACCATGGCAGAACAATACAGGTAGATGCATTAACGCTTGGGAACATTGACATGTCAAAAATGTTAAAATGTTTTTCCAAACTTAAGAAGATTTCTGTATGTTTTCTTATACGAGCCAATCGGAGGATGTTATGACACGTGTTTTCAACAATTTTTACAAATTTGAAAAAGTTTTCATTCAAAAATTTTTAATTTCAAAATTGGTTTGACAGTTCATTGTCCCAGCAGCTGTGTAAATTCGATTACTTTTATTCTTCTACCATGATATGATCAAAGACTGAACCAATTTAAAGGCTGAAATCTAGGAATCTGCACAAAAAATTAAACCACAAAAACATCGTAGCTTGTAAATGATTTAAAAGATCCAGCAAGAAACCCTGATGATTTCCTTTATTTTAACTGTCAACATTTATTATTAATATTATATATAAGATTTTCCAGTGCTTGGAAAACCTTTCAAAGACTGCTTTGAGCTGACAGCTCAATTTCCCGTGTTACGATCGTACATTTTTCCCGAGAGATAATTCCTACAATTCTAAATAATTGAAGAGAAATAGTTTGTGAAGTTGGCAATGCGAATGGAACTTTTTCGTACCTTGTGTATCCTATTTGTTGCACAAATTGCAAACCAGTAGTTCGCTTTTAAATAAAAACTAAGCAACTAAAATCATTTTTCTCCTCTAAAATTGTTCGGAAAAAATTACAAATTGGCTGAATTTTTAACCCTTTCAATTAATATATATGCTTTATTAACTTAAAAGCCAATAACTGGCTTATTATGTATATTTTTGTTAGGGGGAGATTTTTTTGGATGAAATTCAATGTCGAGAGTATTGGTGATACCTACATTTTGTAAGAATTAAGTTACGAATAAAATTTTGATTTACGATAGCAAATAACAGAAAAACTCCGCCCGGAATTGTTTTCTCATAGTTGGTCTGAATATAAAATGAATGGTTTTATGAAACCGATTTAAATACGTATTAAAACTTATTTTAATACCAGTTTCTATCAATAATATTCGATAATCCTAGCGTTGATCTAGCTTGTTTACCTCTTGTGATAACTTTTTTACGTTTTTTTTTTGTTTCCATTTCCGGCCTCAGATTTTATTGTTAGTATAAACTAATCTAAGTGGCTTTATTTGCATTTCGCATAGTGTATGGTTAATACAGGCAGCAAATTACAAGATATGTAGCTAAATAAGATAAACATCTGTTAAAACCCATTAAAAGAACCCTTAAAAGACAAACACACACACAGTTTTCAGTTTTCCAGAAGAAGCGTCAGAGCGAGCAAGAAAGAGAAGAAGGAAAAACCAAAACAAACACATTTTCGTTTTGACAAATACCAAGTTTTGCTGGAGCTCCATTAACGACACTGTTATTCCAAATCACCGTTGTTATTATCACCATTGTAAACAACAGACTGCGCATGCGCAGTAGGGGTTTTCCCTTGGAAAAGCTTCTTTGTAAAGGCGGGGGCGTCGGCGTGCTACTGGCAGACATCATTGTAACTGGCGCGTCAATAAATTCGTTGATGTTTTTTTCGTATTTTTGCGATTTTGCACTAAATTCGCGGTTGTTTTTTTTTTTTTTATTTTCGCAAGATTTCGTGATATTTTATTTTAACTTTTGATATTTTTTTCTGTAAAAAGATTAATTATAATTTTTTTGGCTGTTGTTACTTCATCCACGAAAAAGCTAAGAGATTTTTTTTAAGTTATTTTCAAATACATTTGAGATTATGTGTCGTTACACCCACAACAGAGTTTTTTTCTTTTTTTGTTTTTCTTAATTAAATCATTTGCGCGAAAAAATCTTGAATACTCTGTTTTTCGTCTTCGAACTAAGTATTTTCTTCGTCTGCCACTTTGATTATTGCCCAGAGACCGTTTTGAAAATTGTACGTCCGTACCGCAATGCGACTAGTGTATTAATAAAGTTAAGCTTCTAAACATCTTCAAGCGGTGGCGTTTACTTAAGCTGCGACTGCTGTTGTTGGCTGCTACAGGTCTGCCTTCAGCTCTGCTGGTGGTGGTGGTGATGACGGTAGTGGTTTTGCTTGTCGCAGTTTGGCACTTGGGTGATTCTGTGAACTTTTAAGATGGCAAGGGGTGATACACTGAGGAAATGTTTTTTTACATATGTTATTTTAAATTTCCATATGTAAAATATATACATATCGTGCGATACATGTACAACATTTCAGTTGTGAAATATATGAGTAAAGTACATATGGGTACTTTTTCGATCACAGTGATCCCTATGTTCATCGGAGAAATATAATTTTAAGGCTCTATCAGACGAAATGTTTTTGAGATACACATTGAAATACACAAGGATAATAAAGTTGAAAGAATAAAAATATCTGAACTGATATATGTGTGAAATTCACTGTTTTCAGCAATAAAACGGGCGTTTTAAAAGAAGTCTCTTATATATCTTAAGTGGTGTACACATCATCGTACAAATTTGATTAAGTTCTCGGTTTTAACTTTCTCGGATTTTTATTGGAGTCTTAGTCATCAGTAACTGTTAAACAATATAAGTGCCTGATTTGTAGGATGTGTGACAGTACGTTTGGATTTACGAAATCCGCTCAATCTTAAATGTCAATTCCAAAGCGTATTTACAATTTGCATGATGCATGTGATTGCATGTTGCTGGGACAATGAACTGTCAAAACAATTTTAAAACTTAAATTTTTAATGAAAAATTATTTAAATTCGTTAAAATTGTAGAAAATGCAAATCATAAGAACCTCCGATAGGTGTCGTATATGAAAACATATAAAAATCTTATTATTTTTTGAAAAAAAAAAAAAACATTTTAAAAAATTTGGCATGTTCTATTTTCTATGTTCCCAAGCGTTGATACATCTACCTGTATTATGCTACCATGGCTTATACGTCAAATAATATCCACTGAAATTATAAACACAATTTACGTGACATATACGCTATGCAATTGACATTTGAAATCGAGTAGAGTAGTCTAATCGAGTGATCTAAGATTTGATACCCCATGACTCCTAAATTTCTCTCTGTGTAGTATTGAACCTTAGCGAATTAACCCGAAATTGCTGACAGCTACGTCTTTTGCTGCAGTGACTAAACACATTGTTTGCTTTTTTCTTCGTTGATTAAAATTTGAAGTTTTTGCCAATTTTTGTTGCTGTCATCAATGAAAAACACCAACTGATGTTCAATGGGGATACCTACCTATTCAACGATCGACTGACAAGCGTATCGTTGTTAAACGCCAGTAAGCAACACGAATCATCTCATCATCCTTCCTTATCTGAAGCGCTCAACAACCTAAAGTTATTTTTAAAGTATTGACATAGCAAAATATTTCATATTCCATGTCAAATTTCGATGAGATGTCACATTTGCACAATTGAGATTGGAAAGTGTTAAGGAAGTTGATAATATCTCGAAAAAGTGGGTGTCCAACAAAATAAACATTTCACAATTTTTGGCATTAAGATAATAAATTTCTTTTTTAATTTTATATATTGACTCTGTGTTATAAGTTTAGAGTTGTTCTTTGCAAATTCCGCTCGTGGAGAAACAACTTGTCTTAATTTATTCAATTTTATTAGGCGGCTTATGGCCTATTGTTTTTTTTTTTTGTTGTTGTCTTATTTGCTATTACAAATATAGCCGGTGGTTTGTCATTTGTTCCCCTCGCCCCTTTGTGGAATATATTTTGAATTTCAATAGCTGGGAGCTGCGATTCATGGGCTCTCTTTTTTTGTTTGTGTCGTGTTTACATTCTAACGTCACTATTAATGATTTTCAACTCTTGGCCGTTGTTGTTGTTGTTGTTGCTGCCGCCGCCATTATTATTGTTATTATTTATTGTGGGTTTTTTGCTGTTTGGTTGTTAACACTTTTTTGCTTCATCTTCGATCGTGTCAATCGTGTGACGTGAGTGTCAAAAAAAAGTTGACTGGTTGTGATGTAAATATGAATTTCAATGTATTTGACGAATTAGAGAGAGATGTTGATTACTCAACAGGTTTGATATAATTAAATAATTTCCTTTGCCTAGGGAGGCCTTTAAAGCTATCATTAAATTAAAATTGGAAAATTTTGTTTTATTGGTTAAATATTCTAGCAGTATAAGAGTCATATAAAGCAGGAGCGGGAAAATGCAACCCCTCGTACCAAAGTAGAATAATAATGGTTGGTGCATCAACGCTTGGGAACAATGAAATGTCAAAAGTTTTTAAAATGTTTTGACAAAAATAAGTTGAAATTTATATGTTTTCTTATCGAGGGTTGTTTTGACAACAATTTTTACAAATTTCAATAATATTCCATTTAAAAATTGCAATTTCAAAATTGGTTTGACAGTCCATTGTCCCAGCAGCAGTGTTAATGCGACTCCCAGTATTCTTCTATCATACCTCGTACCTTCAATAAGCGTAATTCTCTTCTCTTCACCATGGTAGAAGAATAAAGGTAGGTGCATCAACGCTTGGGAACATTGATATGTCAAACATTTTTAAAATGTTTTGTCAAAAAAATGTAGATTTTTACATGTTTTCTTATACGAGGAAAATCGGATGTTGTTATGATATGTATTTTTCAACAATTTTTACAAATTTTAATAATTCTTTATTCAAAATTTTCAATTCCAAAATCGCTTTGACAGTTCATTGTCCCAGCAGCTTTGTCAATGTGACTACCTGTATTTTTCCATTATGTCTCGTACTTTCAATCAGCGCAATTCTCTTCACACTCAGAAACATAGAAATGCTATGTAGTCACAACAAATGTTCTACCCTCTATCCGTTCTCTTTGTATTCTTCATTAAAGGATAATCATGGTAGGAGAATAAAGGTAGATGCATGAACGCTTGGGAACATTGATATGTCAATTTTTTTGTTTTTCAAAAACATATATTTTTCTAAGTTTCCTTATATGCTAACTAACCAGAGGATGTTATGATATGCATTTTTCAACAATTTTAACAAATGTCAATAATTTTTCATTCAAGATTTTCAATTTCCAAATCGCTTTGACAGTTCATTGTCCCAGCAGCTGTGTCGATGCGACTAACTGTATTCTTTTGCCATGAGGATGATGAAGAATATACAATGATTACATCCAAACGTGAAAGAATTGATCACTTTCACCATTTTTGTGACTGAGGCTACGTTTAGATACAACTTTGCATCCGGCTTAACTGTCATAATTATCCAATCACATTAGTTTATTGTGATTGATTGTTCTTAAAGGCATGCCTCTTCTCCTCTTTTTGACAAGCAATAGGGACCTGCAGGCCTACTCCTTTTTAACGGCCATGTCTGTCATTAATTAGAATTTAAATTAATTAACAATGTCTTATCACTTCCTTGAGATGTTAATACTTTTGTCTTAATTGGGGTGTTTATTTTATTGTTCGACTATCATTAATAATTTTTTTTCTCTCTTACCAGCACTCTAATTATTTGTAAATTTGCCATACAATAATAAATCAAATATTTTGTAGAAATTTCTATACCATCATAAAATCAAAAAAGAACAAATCTTCATAAATCATTATGACTTCTTGAGGGCAAATCACAAATTTGCCAATATTAAAATCCAATTGTCTTTGTGGTATCTTTATTAGTTAGCCAATATGATGGCATCATCATCGTCATCATGCCACCCAAGGAGGAAACAAAAGTTCAAATTCCACAGATTGTTAGCATGTTATGAACTATAATGCCGTAACATAACACTGTGTCTAGCCAGCAATTTTTTTCCCCAAAATGGGTGGTGCCAATGAATTCGATTTGGCATGAATTATGTTTTAATTTATCGAATTAGCTGAAGCAAAACTAATTCAACATTTTAAACAGTTAATGTAAGAGTTTTCGTATAAAACCTTGACAGATCTGTCAAAATCATTTTGATAAATGTCATTGCTAATAACAGTGTTATCATTTTTTTATTTTAAAAATGGATGGTGTTCCTTTTTATAAACTAAATTATAACTAGCGGGTTGTCAATAATCTTTGTTACCATATTTCAGGCTTGTTTTGGGAAACTTAAAAAAAAAAAATAGATAAACAGCCACATGTCAAAAATCAAGTGGTATAACTTCAAAATCATCAGAGATTTATTAATACGTTTTAAGTGACATATACGCATTGGAATTGACAATGGAAATCGAGTAGATTTAGTGGTCTAAACGTGCTCTTGGTTACATAAAACCTCTTTAGTGGATTTCAACTGTCAATAACATAGCATTTATGAACGAAGAATACCGTTAGTCGCATTGACACAGCCGATGGTACAATGAGTTGTCAAAGCGATTTTGAAATTGAAAATTTTGAATAAAAAGGTTTAAAATGTTTGAAAAATACAAATTATAACAACCTCAGATTGGCGTCGTACAAGAAAACTTATAAAAATCTGCTTATTAAAAAAATTAAAATTTTGACATATCAATTTTCCCAAGCGTTGATGGATATACCTGTATTCTTCCACCATGAATACGGCGAGTAGTCCTAAAGTACGCTTAGATTTACAAATTCCACACGATCTCAAATGTCAATTCCATAGGGTATACGTCAAAAAACTTCCAATGGAATGAGATTTGAATTCTAGTGGTTTTAGTAGTCTAAAGGTGAGAATACATACAGTGCTTATTTGACTGGCCTAAGTCATCGGCTGGCTTCTTCGGAAAAGAACAAAGGAGCGTAGGACCAAAATCGAACTAAACAAAACTAAAACTACTTTCTTTCTCTACAAAGAAGCCAGCTGATGATTTAAGCCAGTCAAACAAGCGTTTTATGTATTCTTACCTTAAAAGCGGCTTTACTGGCTTTATTGTCAAAGTTCTTTACGTTGATTTTAAAGGATTACCATTTCAGACCTCTGTATTTCACATCAAAATAAAATATCAAATAATCCTCACATTTAAACATTTCTTTTCTACCTAA